TGTCGCACCCCACGAGATATCGTACGAAAACATGTGGGCCAACATGGCCTTGGACAGATTGACCGACAGACCACCAAAAAAGATGAAGCTAAGAAGAGTTAGAGAGGGTTAAAAGCTAGAAGAGAGGAGACTCACAAGAAAGGAATCCACATGATTGTTTCCCACAGCATACTAAAGAGTTCACGATGCCCAAGACGATACTCGAGCAAGCAGAACGAAATGTTGCCACCGACGGGGAACACGATCGTCACCGACAACCACACACCGAGACCTTCGAGGTAGAATGCATCGCTGGGCACGCGCCATCCGACAAACAGATAGTTGAACAGCGAGAGCGAGAACGCAGCGGCGATACCATAGTATGTAAACATGTACGCCAACATACCAATCTTGTAGTGGACGGGGGTGGGGGACCAGAACATTTTGTGGATGAGGGCGTTGATGGGACCCTCGGTCGGCCATTCGATGAACGGGTTGAAGAGGAGCTCCGAGCAGCCGTATGCGTATTTTTCCTATGACCCCGTTAGCTAAAAAAAATCGCAAAAAAATAAGAAACTGCTCACTCATCGGTTGAGTTCGTCGTCGCAGGTCAAACTGACACCCTCTTTGAATCCACCTTCCGAGTACACAGCCCATCGAGCGGTATATCCACCAAGTTGCAACCTCAAAGCCATGTCGAAATCTTCAGATACGTTATTTTCCGACCAAATCTTGCGTTCACCATCGGCAGGATCGATAAACGCCACGTCTTGAATCGCACTCCACCGGAGGAAAGCATTGTGTCCGACGAAAGCAGCGACTTCACCATTGGCGCAGGCAAACGAGATGGCGCGATTGATACGACGGGTAAAGTGCGTGATGCCGTTTTCGAAATAAGTGTGGGCGACTTGCATGACGTCCGAATCGTGTTGGATGACTCCGGCTTCGGGAGACTCGTGCATCCCGCGGGCAGCATCACGAAGACAGTCTTCAGGGACGATCGTATCCGAATCGACGATAAGAATGATTTCACCGACACGAAGGGTGTGACTGTTGGCAGCCCAAGGCCTAAACCTGCCTTGGGTGTCTGCAAAGACCTCGTCACAAGCCATACGGAGCGCCAAATCCTCGAGGGATTCCTCACGATCGTCTTCTTCGTTGCCAGCAGCCGAGAGCACATTGGACCATCCATAGCTCATTCCACCATTTCCAGCATCTTGTTCCTAGCCAGCAGCCAACTCGGCCGCCTCTTCTCATGGCTTTTTACGATTGAGAAGGGCAGCCGCACGAGCGCTCGCCACCGCATTCTCATCATTCGCCAAAACCCTCAAATGCTCTTCCAACTTGAGCGAAATCTTGAGCGCATAGTTCATGTTGGACGCCTTTTTGAATCGACCGGCACGCTTGAACCCGTCGGGCTTGCTCGAGTGACCTGGACGAGCGACCCATCCGATTCCATGGTTGGCGTATTAAGCACGGCGTTCTGCTGCGAGCTCGGGAGAGATCAATTGCATACCGTCGTCGCAAATCATGATGGACGAAGTACCACCTTGACGAGCGTACGTTTGCATTGCCTTTTTGAGGGACTCGCAGGATGGGGAGATGGTCTCTTTGAGCGATTCCTTGTAGACGGGTATTTGGATGGTGACGTGGGGGAGCTTGTTGTCGACTTTGGGGTTGGGAGCGGGCTTAACGACGGAATAATACTTGGAGTTTTGGTGGTATTGGGCGACGGGACCGATGGACTGGGTAAAGATACCAAGGAACGACATGCAGAAGAACTAATAGAGGTTAGCGCATACTCTTCACGAGATGACTCGGACATACCAAAGAGATGCAGAAAATGAAGGGCATGGTGGCGACGAGGGCAAACCTCTGCGCATTCCCATCCATCCAGTACTCTTTCAACAACGTACAGAAACCGTTGCCAATCAAAAACAACGCGAGACCCGCACCGATAGCATTGTAGGCAAAGAAAGTTGGCACAGGTGGCGTATGGGCACACGTCATGAACAACGTTATGGGTAGCGGCGACGGCGGTGGCGGAAATGAAACCCAGTGAGAGAATGAGTGATAATATGCGACGATTAGATATAGTTCCAGTTTTGCAAAGAGTATACAGATGGGAAAGGCAGAATGTCGATGTGGATTTTTCGTTGGTGGAGGGGAGGCGTCTAGTACGAGAACACCATCAAGTCGGGGTGGAGCGCGATAGGGTACAGAATGTGGCATCCGACGTTGAGCGCGATCGGGACAATCACACTCCAGTTGTCCTTGGAAATAGCCCACTCCATGGGGACGAGAGGCGTGGCGAGGATGATGATGCCGGCGAGGGTGATGACGGAGAGGACGAGTGCGACACGGAAGCGCTTGAAGATCTTGGGGACTTCCATGAAGAAATTGGAGCGCTCGACTTCCTTCTTTGTCGCACCCCACGAGATATCGTACGAAAACATGTGGGCCAACATGGCCTTGGACAGATTGACCGACAGACCACCAA